TAACACACACACACAAACACACATATACACACACACTCATATATTTTTTTTTTTTTACCTTTGGGAGTGCTGAGGGGGAATCCCTGGGGTCCAGTGGGGCTGCCCGGCGGCCGGTCACTGATGTCGGAGCCGGAATGACGTCATATTCTGGCTCCGGCATCAGTGCGGTGAGCGCAAGGGAGCTGGGAAGAGAGCACTGGGCAGAGCAGCTGCGACCTCTGCGACCGCGGTATGTACGCCAGCGGTGATGAATGATATACCGGGAACGTGTTTCCTGGCGTGTTATTGGTTATACCGGCCGTCCATGCTCTAGTTAAGAAAAGGTGGTCGAGGTGAGTGACCCGAGGCCCATGTGTTGTGGGGAGACTCTAGTGTTAGCTGTGCATGTGTTGTGTGTCGCATTTAACATCATTGTGTAATCGAGAGCTAATACATACACACCAGCTTGGTAACATCATAGCAGGTAGAAGCCATCTGAACAATGGGTACAGTGAGGTGGACAGTCACGAGAAGGTCATGCAGCATTAGAGAAGGAGCCAGTTCACTTGTGTCTTCATGGCGACCCCACCATGTGCCATTCACTGGAGATACTTCTTGGTAGTTTAGGAGCCTGTGTTGGCGGTTCAAGTGAGCGGAACAGTCCCCAGTCTCTGAGTAGTTGCAGCCCATCTTCCGGCTCATCAACCACATGGTTTTTGTTGTTCCTCCATATAAGAACCTTTGTAGGATAGCCCCAACGGTATTCCATGGTTGCGTAGCGTTTTAGTAAAAAAAAAAAAAATTCCCTGTGACATCCCATTGTGAGCGCTGAGAGGTCCGCAAATAGTTGTATCTCCTGATAAGGTTCTGAAAGCTTTTGAAGTTTCCGTTCCCCAAACAATAGGGAGTCCTTGGATTTATAATAGTGGAATCTTACTACCGCATAATGCGGTGTGTCCGAGGTGAAGCGTTGCAGCTTAGGGAGGCAGAGGGCCCTATACATCAGCCACTCCGTGTCCCACATTTCAGGCAGTAAAGCAGTGCAGAGGCCTTTGATATAGGCAGGCAGAGCCTTATGTGTCACGCTGTCCAGAATGCCTTGGTACCTGACATTATTACACTTCGATTGGTTCTCCATATTAGCACATTTTCTCTTCAATTGGATGTGCTCATCCATGAGGCTTTGAAGTTTCTATGTCATATCATTATGCGCTGTGCAGATTTCCCCCATGCGCACTTCCAGGCGGTTCGTCTGGTCGCCAAGCTCGGAAACTTCCCTCTTAAATTCCTCAGTCATCTGTTTAATATCACCCGTGTAATGTGTAATGTCACGCACAGGTCCTGCAGCATAGTGTACAACCGCTTTTCACTGAACGGGGCATTTGAGTATTGGTTTGCAGAAGTTTCTTTTTTGGACAGGCCCTCCAACATAGGAGAGTGTATCATGCCATTGTCACCATCTTGAATAGGCCTCAGACAGTCTTTTTTTAGTGGAACTGATCGGGTCCGTAATTTTGAGCTGTTTGGACGGTGCCATAATAGTGGCTGTAGCGTGTAGGTCTGTTTACAAGCTTGTGGCAGTGATTGATTAAGCTTTTTGTAGCATTTGGGTCAGTCAGGACTGGTGGCACTCACTTCATGCGTCCACTCTGCTCAGCTGCTAGCCGTGCCCCCATGCTTATGTTTTTTAATGGACAATGCCCTATTAGTGTTTATACTTTAGGTCTCTCCTATAACTATTAAAAAAATAAAAAAGTATTAATTACCTGGAACCCAGCGCCCGGCAAAAATCTCGGCGTGGCTTCTCACGCCCTCTCCTGATGTCACAGCAACTGTGTGAGGTCCAAACAAAGTCTTCTCAAAGAAAAGCTTTGATCAGACCATTTAACAATGCTTCATTCATCCTTCCATTCATCACTCCATCCATCATTCCATCACTCCATCCATCCATCACTCCATGCATCCCTCAATCCATCCAACCAACCACCCATCCATTCAACCAACCATCCCTCCATCCATCTATCTATCCATTTATCACTCCATCCATTCAACCAACCATCCCTCCATCCATCTATTCATCCATTCATCGCTCCATCCATCCATTCAACCAACCATCCCTCCATCCATCCCTTCATCTATCTATATATCTATCTATCTGGCGATCCATCCATCCATCCATCCATCCATCCACCCATTCCTCCATCCTGCCATCCATTATTCCATTCCTCCATCCATCACTTCATTCATCCATCCATCACTCCATGCACCCATCCTGCCATCCATTATTCCATTCCTCCATCTATCACTCCATGCACCCATCCTGCCATCCATTATTCCATTCCTCCATCTATCACTCCATCCATCCATCCATCCATTCAATTAACAATCCATCTATCTATCTATCTATCTATCTATCTATCCCTCCATCCATAGCTACATTTATCCATCCATTCATCACTCCCTCCATCACTCCATCCACCCATCTATCCATACATCCCAGGTCAGTGGTAGACAACTTTCTGCACTCCAGATGATGTAGACTACATGTCATCTGATGCTTTGAAAGCATTATGGTTGTAAGAGCATTATGGGAGATGTAGTCCATAACATCCGGAGTGCCAAAGATTTCCTTCCCCTTCCCTAGGTGACTCCAGGAGTCCAGTGATAATAAATGATTATCACTGGGGAAGCTGATACAAAATATGTAAAATTCAATGTATAAGGAATTTTGCACAGTGTTAAAGATCAGGGATTCGAGTTTTGGGAGTTAGGGATTAGAGTCATGCTTAGGGTTTTGGGAGCTAGGATAAAAATAGAATTATAAAAGTAAGGGTTATGTTTCTGCTTAAAGGGACACTCCATTGGCAAATACAAAAAAAGTTTAAATCACAGTTTTGTAGAAATACTCCCAATGAAAACATACATTCATTTAATTATGCATTTTTTTCACTAGGAGTATATATATAAAAATAGCTTGTAAAACCTGTAGATCTCTTGTGTCCAGCATTTGCAAGCCCTCCCTTCTAACCATGCACAGCCCTTCTGTGGCTGTCCAACCACAGACTTGCAAAAGCAACTCAGGTGCTCTGAGCAATTGCTGCCTCTTGAGTTTAGCTCCACTAAGCTAACTAAACTGATTGGCAATTAATTGCCAGGATGGTGTCAAATTTTACAGGAATCTGCACTTTTTAGTAATGAATAAATAAATAAATAAAATAAAATATATATATATTCATTTAATTATGCATTTTTTTTCACTAGGAGTATATATATAAAAATAGCTTGTAAAACCTGTAGATCTCTTGTGTCCAGCATTTGCAAGCTCTCCCTTCTAACCCATATAAAAGAATAAACTGCTTTAGGGTCCAAAGTCCCTTTAACTTTAAGAAAGTTATGACTATGGGTTGATTTAGATCTTTGGTTATGAGATGAACTAGGGGTCCCTCTAGCATGTAACCTCACTGAGCAGGGCCCTCAATCCCTCTGTTACTGTGTCACTATACCCCACTCCCTCTAACATGTAAACTCACTGAGCAGGGCCCTCAATCACTCTGTTACTGTGTCACTATACCCCACTCCCTCTAGCATGTAAACTCACTGAGCAGGGCCCTCAATCCCTCTGTTACTGTGTCACTATACCCCACTCACTCTAACATGTAACCTCACTGAGCGGGGCCCCACTCAATCCCTCTGTTACTGTGTCCACTATACCCCGCTCCCTCTCCTAACATGTAAACTCACTTTGAACGGAGCCCTCAATCCCTCTGTTACTGTGTCCACTTTATACCCCACTCTCTCTAACATGCTTGAGAGCTCACTTTGGAGCAGGGCCCTCAATCCCCCTTTTCCTGTTTCACTATACCCCACTCCCTCTAACATGTAAACTCACTGAGCAGGCCCTCAATCCCTCTGTTACTGTGTCACTATACCCCACTCCCTCTAACATGTAAACTCACTGAGCAGGGCCCTCAATCCCTCTGTTACTGGGTCGCTATACCCCACTCCCTCTAACATGTAAACTCACTGAGCAGGGCCCTCAATCCCTCTGTTACTGTCACTATGCCCCACTCCCTCTAACATGTAAACTCACTGAGCAGGCCCTCAATCCCTCTGTTACTGTGTCACTATACCCCACTCCCTCTAACATGTAAACTCACTGAGCAGGGGCCCCAGTCCCCTCTGTTACTGTCCGCTATACCCCACTCCCTCCCAACATGTAGGCTCACTGAGCAGGCCCTCAATCCCTCTGTTGCTGTCACTATACCCCACTCCTCCTAACACAGTGTGTAAACTCACTGAGCAGGCCCTCCAATCCCACTCTGTTGCCTTGTCCGCTTATACCTCCCTCTAACATGTAAGCTCACTGAGCAGGTCCCTCAATCCCTCTGTTACTGTGTCACTATACCCCACTCCCTCTAACATGTAAACTCACTGAGCAGGGCCCTCAATCCCTCTGTTACTGTGTCACTATAACCCACTCCCTCTAGCAGGTAAACTCACTGAGCAGGCCCTCAATCCCTCTGTTACTGTGTCACTATACCCCACTCCCTCTAACATGTAACCTCACTGAGCAGGACCCTCAATCCCTCTGTTACTGTGTCACTATACCCCACTCCCTCTAACATGTAACCTCACTGAGCAGGGCTCTCAATCCCTCTGTTACTGTCACTATACCCCGCTCCCTCTAACATGTAAACTCACTGAGCAGACCCTCAATCCCTCTGTTGCTGTGTCACTATGCCCACTCCCTCCTGGCATGTAACCTCACTGAGCAGGACCCTCAATCCCTCTGTTACTGTGTCACTATACCCACACACTCCCTCTAACATGTAACTCACTGAGCAGGGCCCTCGATCCCTCTGTTACTGTGTCACTATACCCCACTCCCTCTAACATGTAAGCTCACTGAGCAGTGTCCTCAATCCCTCTGTTACTGTGTCACTATACCCCACTCCCTCTAGCATGTAAGCTCACTGAGCAGAGCCCTCAATCCCTCTGTTACTGTGTCACTATACCCCTCTCCCTCTAACATGTAAACTCACTGAGCAGGCCCTCAATCCCTCTGTTACTGTGTCACTATACCCCACTCCCTCCAACATGTAAGCTCACTGAGCAGGGCCCTCAATCCCTCTGTTACTGTGTCACTATACCCCACTCCCTCTAACATGTAAACTCACTGAGCAGGCCCTCAATCCCTCTGTTACTGTCACTATACCCACTCCCTCTAACATGTAAACTCACTGAGCAGGCCCTCAATCCCTCTGTTACTGGGTCACTATACCCCACTCCCTCTAACATGTAAACTCACTGAGCAGGTCCTCAATCCCACTGTTACTGTGTCACTATACCCCACTCCCTCTAACATGTAAACTCACTGAGCAGGCCCTCAATCCCTCTGTTACTGTGTCACTATACCCCACTCCCTCTAACATGTAAACTCACTGAGCAGGACCTCCAATCCCTCTGTTACTGT